CTCAATCCCCCGAAAAAAAAAAAATTTTGCTCTGCCGCTAACATTCCTGGCAAAAAAAAAAAAAAAAAAAATTTTATTCAGCTCTGCCGGCCGTGCCAAACAGCCCTGGCGGAGAGGAAAAAAAAAGTTTTTGACAGCGGTGTAAGCAACGCGGATGAGGAAGTAAAAAAAAAAATTTTAAATAATTAACCATGCAGCCCTGCGGCTGTTTCCCCAGCCGTGATAAAAAAAAAATTTATCAGTTCTGCCGCAGCAGCCCTGACGGAAATTTAAATAACATAAAAAAAAGGAAAAACAGAGAAGGGTGCGCAGCACTGCCGCTGTCTCCAACGGCGCTGAATTTTTTTTTTTTTAGATGCAGCAGCGCTGATGGAGAATAAAAAAAAAAATAATAATAATAATAATACATGCAGCGCTGAATGGAAAGAAAAAAAAATTTCCAGCCCTGCGGCCGTTCCCAACAGCCCTGGAAAAAAAAAACAACAACAAATAATCAATACTACGGATACAGAGACGCAAAGGCAAAAGAATTACAAGGCCCATTTTTAATAGTTGTCCTAATCTAAGCATCTTTGCCTAGACGTGTTTCATGAATTTTCTAGGGCAAAGTTGATTTAATTATTAAAGTAATTTTAGGTGATTTGAATTGTGTCAACAACTTAGTTCATAAGAATTACTTCTTATAAACTAAGTTGTGGGGGGCATTGTTTACACCTAAAATTATTTTGGCTTGAATTCAATGCCGTAATAATGAGTCTCGGCATTTAATTCGATATCGCATGGCCAAAACGATGTCGTTTGGAGTCGAGCGGTGTCGCGGAGAGTTAAAACGATACCGCGAAACAGAAAAGCGGTACCGCAAGGAAGCTCAGCGGTACCGCGACACCGCCAGAAAATAAGATGGGCCCGCGCGTTTGGTATTGGTGTTGGAAAAGGAGTTTTAATTATTATTATTATTATTGTTATTTTTATTTCTTGTTGGAGGGGGAGAAGCGGCACCGCGGAGAGCTAAAACGGTGCCGCGGAATTAAAAACAGTATCGCGAGGAAGCCCAACGGTACCGCTATACTAGCAAACGATAGTGTTTAATAATAAACAGTGTCGCGGAAGAAAAAAAACAAACGGAGCTGGTTGAAAACGAGACCGCAAGGCTGGAAGCGGAGTCGTTTAATATTTAAACGATGTCGCGGGTAGAATCAAGCGGAGCTGTTTGCGAAAGGAAACGACATCGCGAGATCATGAAAACAACTCACGTAAAGTTCACGCGAAGCAGTTTGAGGAGCGAAGCGGTTGAGACACGTGGGATTTCACAACGGAGCAGTTGAGGAAGCGGTTCCACCGAGCGTGAAGACTACGAAGCTGTTTTTCGAATAAAAGCAGTGGAGCAAGGAGAGAGAAGGGACAACCAAATCAACACAGAACAACTCTGTCAAACTTTACCTTTTCTCTGTAACTCCCTCGCGGAGCTCTCCTTCCAGGAAGGATCTCCATAGTTGGTAGAAGTAGTCGTAGTCGCGGAGCTCTCCACAGGAATCTCCATAGGAGTAGCGGTAGCGTAGATTCCTCAAAACTCAAACACCCTCGTTCGAACGTAGTTTGGAGAGGTGCGAACCGTAGTAACGGTCGTTCTTGGTTAGAAGTCGGTGGTGCATCGATCAAATCAACATCGCTCGGCGGTGGATATTTGATTTCACCATTCAGAGGTGCACCGATCAAATCAACGACGCCGACATTCGGCGGCGGATATTTGACGGTCGTCTCGATCTCAGCTATCAGCGGTGCATCCGTTCAATCGGCACCGCAAGAGTTTCCACCGCGAAACATCGAATCAACATCGCCGGAAACGAATTCGGCACCGGCGGTGGCATTTGGTTTTTTCGGGAAACAATGAGTATTAAGCCAAGTTCGGAAGGAATCAGTGGAATATATATATAGGTAGCAGAGAAAGATGAACTTAAAGGCCAAACTTATCGAAATGGAAGAGAGGGGTAGTGTGGCTTAAATGAAGGCATAAGGAGGAAAAAAGCTAAAGGTTTGCTAGTACAAGAGTTGATGAGTAGTTGAGTAGTAGGGAGGATCATGAAAAATGAAAATCGAGTTGAAAAAGAGCAATGTGTGCTTTGTTCTGAAAGCAGGATAAGCAATGTGATGGTTATTGCTATTGTTGGTATGGTTTGTGTTGTACTTTCAATGAGTGTGATTAGTGTGTACTGATAGTGGATCGGTGTGTATCAATGCAATGTCCCTTTTTCCATTGGTCGGCTATAAACAAAGGACGCAAGCCTTTAGATAAAGGTTGTCAAACCGATTTATATCGTTGCGCTGGTTTAGCTAGCTAGTGAAATTGTTTGATTGATGGTATAATTGGTTGTGTTGGTTTATGTCGGTTAAACAAAATATATGTAGGAATGCGAAAAACCATTAACATCTAATGAATTTCATCGTATATGAAACATATTTGATGACAATTTGTTTACAATCATATTCATATTTTAATAAAATAAGAAATACCAAATAAAAGAACAAATAATCATGTTTAAATACTTAATTTAACTTCGATTCCAAAACATTTATACTTAAAATCCAAAAAATAACATTAATATTTAAACTTTAAATTCATAAAATAAATAATAAATTATTTTTTATTAATTAAATTCACCAAAATGACATCATTTTGTTTACAATATTAATTAAATTATACCAATCACACCGATAGTGTTCATGGCGATTTCATAACCGACATCAATTGAATCAGATTCAAACGACTAGCATACTACTAGCATGTTAACATGCTTGCTTTAGATAACATTTAAAAAGAGGCTAAGCTTTTGGAATCTAAAAAATCACAGGCTCAGAACCGCGCGTGTCAATTGGAAGACAGATGATGGAGACCGGTCATGTGAAATACAAGGTTCCTCATATTCCCACTATCCAGCATATAACAAAAAACAAAAGCATGCAGAATATGCAGGAAAAGGAAATCCACTCATCTTGAAGTATACTACTCGACATCGATTCTTGTAGTGCAAAGAACACATGGCTCAACTTAACATGTTACATGAAACCGTGTTGGAAAAGTCAACCGTGGAAAATTTTATGGCAAAAATGAAAAAAAAAATTATAGTTTTTTTAGATAAGGGTGATATAGGTTATTTTTTTTGTTATTAGGTACTATTGGAGGGATTCGAACCTGGTACTTGCAGGTTCATGGCTAGTTTAATCTTAGTTCAACCGTTAGTACCGTCAAATACTGTCTATTGATTTAGCCTTCGACGTTGGTATTTTGTGGTTATGGTACGGTTTCATAGACCATGCAGTTTATCCCTTATAACGTCCAACGGGTTGTTTGATGCAAATTTTGGACAACAGATTTCGACACAATCGCTTTCTCTACTGAATTTTAGCATAATTTTATGTCTGGAAAGAGAAAAAAAATCTCAATAGTAGGGTTTTATAAATAACCTATCTGATTAAAATAAATTATCTATCTGCATCATCTGCTATTATGGGTTTTTATAATGGTGATATAAATTTGTTGGGTATGCCTACTATGACATGCATGTCACCGTGACATGGACTTTTCGGTCGACCTAATCTTGAAGGCGGTCGACCGAATTGACTAATTTGGGCAGCACGAGAAAGCATTGCGGTCGACCTCAACGACCACCTGGTCGACCGCACTTAGTTTAAGTTGTTATTTTTGGTCGACCAGAATAAAACCTCGGTTGGCTATTTCGTTGGCGTCAGAAACAACATGGTCGGCCGTAAAGGTATATAGGTCGACCACTTGATGACATTCATTAACAACATGGTCGACCAGATAAAGAAAGAGGTCGACCAGATAGAAGATAAGTGTTCTATCAATGTGTCCAATCATTTGACGTAAAATGAAGATCAAATGTTGGTTTCGAGGTCGACCTAATCCAGTACGAGGTCTACCGAATACAAGAAAGTCAACCTATGCCCCATGTCTTTTTTGCTTATGTATGTCGATTTGTGTGGTTCTTTTGCTCGTATAAATTATGTTTCAAACCATCATAAATAGTCATAAATAATGATAACAAGGATTCATCAATTCATAGCATAACAACTAAACAATACGGTGTGAAACCTAATCAAATACGGATACGGTGTGAAGGCGGTCGACCCTTTCTAATGCGGTCGACCTTTTAGGTGCACAAGGGTCGGCCTATGAGGTATTTGGGTCGACCTTTCATTCTGTTAGTCCATCAAAGAGGTCGACCATATTATGTAAGAGGTCGACCGCATCTCGGAACCTCACATAACTGAATTAGTCAATTCGGTCGACCGCCTTTTGGATTAGGTCGACCAAAAAGTCCATGTCACGATGACATGCATGTCATCGTAGCAAAATCCAAATTTGTTTTCATCAGTAGGCACTACTTGGAAATCTCTAATTTTTTTCTACCAAAATTATTCTTCACCCACACCTACTTCTTCCCTCTTCCCTGCACCAGAAGAAGGAAATGATCTTTAGGTTTAAGGACGAGTTGTGATGAATGAGGAGGAAGACGATAGGAAAATCGTCTTTTGGATTCTCTATTCCAAAATCCTAATCCAAAAGTAAACGTGATATTTCATTTGACCTAAATCCAACATACACATCACCTAATTTTTTAAACGAGATAATTTTGAACTAAAATCTCACATTATCCAAAGTCCTAATCCAATCTGCCTAAAAGAGAATGGAGCTGCAGGCCTCAATCAAAAGCAATCCCAAATAATGATACCCAGCATAAAGTTGATGGACTCTCATAAAACTTAAAAACTTACGATTTTATATTTTTAGGTCACTAAAACGCTTCTACACAAAATCTCAATTTTTATAACTTATGTAGTTAAAAACTCCGCTTTAAAAGTTAAAAACTTACGATTTTACGCTTCTAGAGCACAAAAAACATTTCTATATAAAAACTCGCTTTTGACTACATTGACAGCAGGAACCCTTGTGTTGTGCCCTCTATAAATAGTCCCCCTCCTTCATCCCAAGTAGCACAACACCAAGCAAACAACCCACAAAAAAAGAGCACTCACAATCATATACATAGCCAGTTATCACAATCATGGGAGCAATCTACTTCACTTTGTTTATGATCATAGGGTTTCTTGCAATCCCAGCTGAACCCAGAACTTCCCCAGGTAATTATATATAATTCATTCATTAGTATCACTAACCATTATTTTCATGATTAAGTTAAGTTTGTACGTTTCTCCCTTTACATTCTTAGCTGTCTCTACTACTAATGATCATCAGGTGATGACCAAAAAGCTCTAGTGATAATTTACGAGCGGAGCTCTCCATCATCAAGCTTCCCTCTTGACCTATCGGCCATAATCTCCGCCATCAATCATGACGGAGAGAATGATATCAACGATGTGGCGATAAACGGAAGAGAAAATGTAGTGGAAGCACCAATTCCCAAGACGGCCGATCAAGGCTGTGATAGTGCAAACGCTGATGATGACTGTATATCTATGGTGACGACGGAAGGAGCGGCGCCAAGAAGGAAGCCAACGCCGCCGCCGGCGCCCAAGCCGGCCGCCCCTACCCATCCCACTGTGTAACGCAACTTCCTAGCTCGCTCGATCGATCGTCAATCAAAAGGACTGGCATGCAATGCATGAGCATGGCCTCCGATCCTTTTCGCTAATAATAATAATTAGTCATATTCATATATATGCTTGTGTGTACGTACGTAGTACTAATTAATTAGTAGTAGTAGTTGTCAGTCGGAATAAGGAAATTTTGCCAGCTGCCATGGGACTACACATGGTAACTTTATTCGTACTAATTAAGCCTAGCTAGCGTTCCTGCCTGTGTAATAACTTATTATCCGTAATCCTAAGTTTGCTATATAAGTGTGTACGTGTGTGTCCTTAATTACTGCCATGTATCGCGGTTTGACAAGTTATTTGTTTGTGCTACAATAGGTTTCGATGTGTGTTCTTCACGAAATTCATTGTAAATATGCTCTATCAACTTTTGTAGTGGTAACAGGTAGCAATAATGCCAACTTCAGAAGTCGATACACTAATGGATAATATTTGATATTCTAGGGCACATAAAAAGTAATCTGAGAAGTATTGTAACATCCCAAATTTTTTTCCGACACAAATATTATTCGCTTTGCACCAAGACCCTCACGATTTTTTACATGGAGTGCAATTCATGGTAACTTTTCATAAGGTTACTAATTCTTATTGTACTCCACATTAAACTCGTTTAACTTCAGACTTACTCCCTCATTTTGAGTATCGTACTTACTCCCTCGTGTAGGGATGACAAAAATATCTGTAACCGTGAATATCCGCCCGAAACCGACCTAATCGGGTAGGGTAAAAGCCGAACCCGAAGGACTTTTAGTGGGTACGGGTAAAACCCGAACCCGAACATTGCGGGTAATGGGTGGGCATGATTTTCTCACTATCCAACCCGAACCCGCCCGATTATACATATGCATATGTATTTTTTCTAGAAATAGTCATTATTTTTCTCCAACATATTTTATATTTAGCATATAAATATCATATTTTTTATGAAATTGTGTTATTTTAATTAATTTTATTCATTCAAGGTGAGAATACGCGTAAATGTTAACATATTGATTGAGTTTATGAAGAGATATTATTAGTCATGGATAACCGTGGATACCCGAAACCCGAATAGATATGGGCATGGTTGTAATTTTCTACCAATTTTTTATGTGGATATGAATATGGGTAAAACTCGAACTACTTTGAGTAGGGATACGGATATGATATGCACTATCCACCCGACCCAACCCATTGCAATCTCTACCCTCGTGTTGCGTCGTTCTTTTTGCGGCTCTACCAGTCCTGCGCGAATTCAATGTCCTTTCCTTCCTTCCTCCATGCTCTGCTTTGCTTCCATTTTTTTTTCTCTGTTCTGGAAACTATCCCACTCGCTGGCATTGGTGCTTTCTCCTCTTTCTGGTTTTCTGCTTCTCGTTTAGGATGGACCGAATTCGAGGTACTTGGGTTGAATGGTTCATCTCAATTTCAATGAGTTAGTGCTAATGCTTGGCCGAAAAATTTTGAATCAAATTACCCACGGTTCCACACACAAACACCAAAATAAGTACAAAGGACGCTGATTATCTATTTCTTCAATCGAATCAGCAGTTATGCCGAAAATAAGAACTTTTACATCAAAATAGACAGGCAGAGTATATAGTTTGAGTTCTATACATGTCGCTCCAACATATTAGAGAACGTTACATTCTCCAAACTGAAGAAGAAGAAGAAGAAGAAGAAGAAGAAGGAGAAGATGAAGCATTCGCCAGAAATGAAAGAAGAAAGCATCACTCTCCATTTAGCCACAGCAGGAGCCACAAGCAGGCAAGGAACCTGCAAGTTAGGACCACAGGTTTTGGACTTTGGTTAGACTTAGTACTACATATTTAAAGAAGTTACAATCATCCAAAGATTGGATATGAAAGGAAACACGAGTTAACGAGCTTACTGTGATCACCCCCACGAACATCCCTCAGTCCTCGAACGTTGTCTAGTCCTCCTCTCGGTGGCCCACGCGGCCCACCGCCATACGGTCCACTTCCAGGACCTCCAGGTCCTCCGCCGTCCCATTTCTTGCTACCACCCGACCCTTTCCGATAAGCATCTGATTTTTCCATCTGGAGAAAGAAGAGATTAAGCACCACAGTTTTGCCATTATACCGAGAAGGCCACCTCCAAAGGAGATTCCTAGTCTCTTTGAGATGGTTTCATATATCATATATGGCAATGAGGAAATGAAAATTCTTACTGAAAACATGGTAGCAAAGAACACAGAAATCAAGTTGATGATTGCCCAAAAGAAGTCTGTGAATGTCTTCAGTCGCCATAAGGATTTCTGTGACTTCACAACGCCTGAAACAAGAAGTAAACGTGTTGGATGTCTTACTAATGATAACAAAATGAGGATGAAATGAACTCATCTGAATTTCGCTCATGTTATTTTCCTTCTACATGTCAGTGAAATTAAATCTAACAAAAGGTCCGGCGGTTAGAAATCTGAAAACAGAAACTTCTCAATACAACTCGCCGTTCCTACATTTCTATATCAGAACAGACAACTGCAGAGTTGAGACTACTGCAAGGAACCTACTTCTGAACTAATAAGCACGAACAAAAATTGTCGATGGTAAGAAAACAGACAACTTTCAATCCTATTTGACAGCTATTATCTGTTTTATCAATTTGTCTCAGCGTGCAAGTGTTCTGAAACCAAAACTTGGCCTGCATTACCAACCTTACGATTGCTACTTAACAGTGATGTAGTACATCACAGGAAAGAAAGCAAACCAAGGTGATTTGAGAAGCATTCATAATGATTATCCCAGTTACCAAACTGGAAGGAAACTCACATTAGAATCAGGCAGACCAGGCTTGGCAAGTCAAACCAGCAGACAAAGTCTATCAAGATGACAATTGACAACTGTTTGCATGCCTTGAGGCCAGAGAGAGAAACAGCTTGAGAGTTGAGATACTTGTGACACAGAAGTAAAAGTGAAGACGATCGATCGACAATGGAAACTAACAATTCAAAAGATTGGCCTTACTTTCATAATGTCCTCTTCATTCATTCATCAAGAAAGAGTACATGTAAAAGTTTGGCAACTTAGATAAACTCCTTGTAACTTTACAAGTTCCTGACTTACCATCAAAATATGGATGATAAAGAGCTTGACCGGCTGAGAAAAGAGTGAAAGCTTCTTCCATCAGGAAATAAGACATCTTTTCAAGATATCTGATCTGAGCAATTCATGGGATATATCCTAACCACAGTAACGACCTTAATTCTGTGCCATATCTCATCAAACATAACGAGACCGAATCTTCCTACCAAGAGGAATAATAAAGGGTCCAGATAGAAATACCCATTCAATATTCCTATAGTTTCAACACTTCCATCAAAGCTGATTTCCTCATCCTAACCCAAGAAACCCAATGCTAAAACGACCTTAATTACAAGCCGAAGAATATTTGAGGTCCTCGAACGGGTAATCTGGGAATGAAATTTGTAAATCCCTAATCTGGAGATACCGCAAAAGGAAACATTAACGATCATTATTCACTTCACAAGGAACCCAATCAAAGAAACCTAAAGAGCCCACATGATCTGATGAGAGAAGAAGATTGGGGGGGGGGGGGGGGGGGGGGGAGGAGAGAGAGAGGGACGACCGACCTCGTTCGACGTACGCCATTGCAGCCAATTTCCAGAGTCGCCGATGGAAAAATTGAGGGATCTGTTCTTTCTGTTTTTAAACGTGTTCATTTCTTCTTTATACGAAGTGATGTGACACGTGGACAAGACCGGGATGCATTCCACGTGTCTGCTGGTTGCTGGTTGATATTATAATATACAAGTCTTTGATGAATTCTGTATAGTTAGGGATGGCAACGGGTCGGGTCGGGTCGTATAGTGCATATCCGTTACCCTACTTAGAGTAGTTTGGTTTTTACCCATATTTATACCCATATAGGAAACAGGTAGAAAATCTAAACTATTTCCATATCCGTTTGGGTTTCGGATATCCACGGTTATCCATGGATAATAGTTTCTTTTTACAACTTCAACCAACATGTTAACATTCACACGTATTTTTACATTATATACGAGAAAAAGTACGACAATAATTCACTAGAATGAAGAAAATTAATTAAAACAACACAATTTCATGAAAATATTATATCCATATGCTAAATATACAATATGTTAAAAGAAAAATAATGACTATTTCTAGAAAAAATATATATACATGTATATAATCGGGCGGGTTAGGGTTGGATAGTGAGAAAACCATGCCCACCGATTACCCGCAATATTCGGGTTCGGATTTTACCCGTACCCACTCAAAGTCCTTCGGGTTCGAGTTTGACCCTACCCTATTAAGTCCTATTCGGGCGGATATCCTCGGTTACAGGTATTTTTGCCATCCCTTCTAGTTCATAGACATAAATATATATATATATATATTTTTTTTACAATAAGATTAACTTTTGCTTTATAATGATGATATAAATAACAATTACAAAGTCCATGATAGATCCAAATCCATCACCAAATCCATCAAACAAACATATAGGATTTACAAATTCATGGGGTCCATGGATTTGGATATAAAAAGGGTCCAAATCGGTGGGTCCCATGGATTTGTGTCCCTTAGCAAATAATGAATTTGTTCCAAGTCCTTGATGTTTGGGATTTGGATGCCAAATCCATCACCCAAATCCCACAAGCAAACGATACCGTAAATTCAAGCTAGTAATTAGGCTATCAATCGGTAGTGGACCACCTAAAGGAGGAGGTGAAATGAAGGATATGAAGCAAAAATATAATAAGTAGTTCATATTGGGTGCTCTTAATTTATATTAAAAAAAATTCAAAAATGATTTTTTGGTAAAATAGTTAACCATTGGTAGTCAAATTGAGTTGGTTCATCGGGTTCAATATCCAACCGTTAAAAGTCGATCAATCCATCTTTAATCGTTCAAACAAATGGATTGAACCGCTCGCTATATAACTAGTTTGAAAATTTTGTTGATGTAGCTGCTGATCTGATTCAAATCTTGTAAGTTATAACAAGAATCTTACTAGAAATCGTAGTCATTTTAGAGCAGCTGAAACCGTGTAAACATTTGCAAAAGACTGATCTCGCGGACAATAGCAAGACCCGGCTGAGCCAGTTGAGCTGTTCCTCCAGTTTGGGATTTGTGGCCTGACCGAAGTTCAATTTGGCGGTCCAACCGCGGTTTTGATAGAAAATGAGGAGCAGAAGATGAGAGAAAGCTGAAAAAATCGTTGAAGCCCGCAACGGCCAGTAATTTGCGCTAAGTTGCTAACCCGAAAGCCAGCCGCCATCTGTACTTGAGCAGGTGGCCGACTACTGCCCGTAGCGCGTGATTCTGAGGCCGAAGAAACCGATTTCATTAGCAAATGAGCAGAGTCCAAGCCAGTCAGCATTTCAGAATCCTCGGTGCAAGACAAAAAGTCAGCGACTTTCTACAATTCCCTTCTTGGTCGGGGGGAGACCTCATATTCCCATTCCCATCGTGCTTCGCTCCTCATCCGTCGCCGATCGCCCACCAAAAATGGAAGAACCCCACATCGAGAGGATGGCTGCTTCGCCAGTGAAGAAGGGATCGCTGATGATGAGGCCGATACATTGGTTCAGAATGCTTGGCGAAGAGCTCCACTGGAGCCTCGTGATGGGGGTAATCGTGGTTTATGGGATTAGTCAGGGTTTCGGAGTTGGGCTCGTCCGAGTTAGTACGCAGTACTACATGAAGGATGATCAGAAGCTGCAGCCCTCTGAAGCTCAGCTCTTTTTTGGTCTCCTTCAGCTCCCTTGGATTGTCAAGCCTCTATGGGGTCTCTTAACGGACACTGTACCTGTTCTGGGCTACCGCAGGCGCCCCTATTTCATTTTCGCAGGTCAAACCCATGTTTCCCCAATTCAATTATGTACCTTTCTTCTTCTTTAGCTACCAATTGAGCTGTTAACATGATCTCATCTTCCTTTGAGTCGGTAAACAAGGTCTGTAATGAATTGGTTGATTGTAAATTGAAACTGAATTTCAGGTTGTCTTACTGCTATGTCAATGCTGGTGGTGTCACTGCAGCCAAACTTGTCGCTGGGATATGCCATGCTTTCTCTGATGTCAGGGAGTACTGGGATGGCGATTTCAGATGTTACCATTGATGCCTGTGTGACACAAAATAGTGTAACTCACCCATCTCTTGCCGGTGATATGCAAAGCTTGTGTGGGCTCTCTGCCTCCATCGGGTCCCTGGTCGGCTTCTCACTCAGTGGCTTCCTTGTTCACCTGGTTGGAGCTAAGGTAATCTAATTGCTATTTGGTGCCCTTGCTCTCTAGGTTGAATGCTAGATTTAGCAACTTCACTGCTAAGGAATTTAGTTACTCGGTGAGATCCATGCTATTTCTTATTGTGCTATTCGAGACTTGTTTGTTTTGTGTGTGCGTAAGAGTTTTGGGTTGTGCCTCACCTAATGTCATTAACAGTCACAATCAGGAAGGTGCAAGTGATATCTTTAAGTTTCATAAAATGAGGGGTGTAAAAGAGTTCCAAGTATAACCTGAATGTTTCCTTAATCCAGAGGTACAGCCACTGAAAGTTGCTTTCAAGGTACATAGCCAGATTAGAAAGCATTGTACTTCGATTTGCATGTCGTTCCAGTACTAGGGTTGCCTTAATTGATGATTGTGCTAGGCTTTCTACAAGCACTAATGTTCTTCGCCTTTTTTATGGCTTCTACAGAAACCATCTTAATGTCCTTTGAAATGTTATAATTGCATCTTTAGATGTTTGGGATAGATGGTTTGCACTTGATGGAAGAGGTGTAACTCTAAAATTCTTGTTTCTCAACTGACATACTCTTCTTGACAGGGTGTGTTTGGGTTTCTAAGTTTTCCAGCAGGCCTAGTCGTTATGGTTGGGATATTGTTGCGCGAAGGCAATTTACAGCGATCTGTTTACAGAGGGGTACTAGTGTTGTATCTGCTTTATTCTCCCTCATTGGCTCCAAAAGTATATTTTTGAATTCTTGATAGCTTACCACAGAAGCCATGACTTAGGTACATGAGAAGTTCTTGGACGCCGGTAAAGCAATGTGGAGAACACTAAAATGTCGAGAAGTGTGGAGGCCTTGCTTATTTATGTTCTTGTCTCTCTGTGTCAGTTTACATGTCCATGAAGGAATGTTCTACTGGTATACTGATGCAGCGGGGGGTCCATCTTTCTCACAGGTACCTTTATATTTTATAAATTACGTGGTTATCTGCTTCCAGCTGATCAATAACCAACTTCGCAATCAAATACAGATACATACGTCTAACTCTTCATATATGGTGCATAGGCTTGCTAGCAGGTTAAACTTAATCTTATTTTACACTTCCTGCAGGAAATTGTTGGATCGATATTCTCATTTGGTGCAATTGGCTCTCTCTCAGGGGTCCTAATCTACCAAAATTTTCTGAAGAACCATCCCCTTCGCGACATAGTTTTTTGGTCCCAGCTATTACTCAGCCTATCTGGGCTGCTTGACTTGATATTGGTTCTTCGTATTAACTTGAGAATCGGTTTCCCTGATTATTTCTTTGTTGTGATCGACGAAGCTGTTTCTCGGATGATTGGGCGGGTCAAATGGATGCCTCTTCTTGTGCTTAGTTCCAAGCTATGCCCTCCTGGTATAGAGGGCACCTTCTTTGCTCTGCTCATGTCTATTGATCATATTGGTCTGCTCATCTCTACATGGCTAGGAGGTCTACTCTTGCATATGTTGAATGTCACCAGGACACAGTTTGACAATCTTTGGGTTGCCCTCTTGATCCGAAGCATGGTGAGGCTGCTCCCGATTGCCTTATTATTCCTGATCCCGAGGGCTGATCCCAATTTGTCGGTTCTTCCAGCTGAGATGTTGAAGATGAAAAAGGGTGATGATGACCAGAAGAACAATAAGATGGCCTCCCTTATCGAGGGCAGTTGAAGTAGGGAAGAATACTGACACATTTGTTTCGAGATCACAGTCAATGCAGGTCCCTTTACAATGCCAAGGATGCCAGACACTGAAGCTGGAACCCTATGGTATGACCCAAATCACCATTTACTCAGCATCTTCCAGTTTGGTACACAGATTAATCAACTTGGGCAATGACATAGTTTTATCATACATTTGTATTCAACTTTATTGTTGCCTAGCAGGGAGAATGTTCCGTACAGACTTTAGCTGCATTAGTGAATATAGAGCTGGGAACCCTGCAAAAAATCTTGGCACTTGATATTTTGGTTCCTGTTGTAACTTGTACACCTTTTGGGTTCCAGATTACTACTGCTCTTGTACTGTACTTCATCAATACACTTGACTAACAAGAAACATGGAAGTTACTATTCTGTTTTCAGATTACTACTGCTCCTGTACTGAGCTATCACATATTGACAGATTACATGGAAATCATGAAACAGACTGGCCGAAAGAGGGTGGAAAAGCAACTTGCTTGATGAATTTCTTTGCCAATTGAAGCAAACTAATTGGCATTGCATTCTATAAGAAGAAATAAATGCATATTCACAGACCCACACCTGACCACTTGACATCCCACATAAGTAACCAATAAGCATTCTAAAACATTTTCTCCCTCGCATTAGTTGAAACTGCAAGCTTCTGCTGCAAATCCCACCATTGACTCTTTTGTATCATAGACAACCCTCTGGTTTCTCTGCTGATAGTTCCCTACTATCCCAATCTCATCTTCATAAGCCAGGCTCGCGATTGCCAGACACACCTGAGAAGCATCCGCTTTCACAAAATAGAAAACCCCTGTCAGGTCAACTTGCAGCTTCACATTCCCTTCAAAGTTGATGCTAATGGTAGGGACATCAATCTCCTGATACCCCGTCAGGTTGAAGCAAGTGTCCAGTATCGAAAAACCTGGAGCAGTTGGAACCCCGGAGAATTGCCTCAGAAACTCTGCCTTCACAGTGCTGTAAGTCGATGGAGGAAGCCTCGTTATGACTGTTCCAGAATCAATCAGAATTCCAGTTCCAAATCCAGAGGCCTGAGGGAGATCCTTCCCACCTATCGAAAACCCGGTAAGGTTGAGGAAGTAGAAAGTTGGGAGCTGGGGATTATTGACCATTCTGGTGTAAGAAATTGGGGTGAAGTTGCTGTAAACTGAAGTATTGGGACCAAATGCTAATGAGCCAGTAGCATCAGGTGCTGTTGTGGGCAAGCAGTAGGAGAAAACACCTCCGTACATGGATTTAGATTGAGACACCAAAGAAAGCTCACTCCTTCCCAACCCCATTAAACCTGAAGCTCCTCCAAATAAGCCCTTATTGTACCTTCCACAACCGAACACGAAATTATGGACTGGTTCGGTTTCACCTCCCAAGTTAAGCTGTTCAGTGGCTAGATCGCCTCTTGTGTAGGACCCATCCCCGTAGCTAACGTAATAGTTGCAGGTTTGCTGGTTGCTGGCACAGGCACCCGAGTTGCCAGTTGCGAACTGAAGGGAGTCACAAGCTGATGAATTGCAGGGGATTCTGCGGAAAGAAGGAGAGATGGAAGGGTCGAAGAGAGGATCCTTCTGGTTGTAACAGAACCTGCATGGCTGGCATTGAACCCATGTCAAGTCACTTCCAGTGTCCATTATCACTGTAAGCTGTTTCCCTCCCAGCTGTACTGTAACTATATAGTTGAGGGTTTGCAGCTTTATTCCTGAAGCCAATGGAATCTGAGTTGTTGTTGTTGTTGTTGACACCGAGTTGTCTTGTTTGACAAGAGAGGTATCCTTTTTGATTCGAGACTGGATTGATTGGACTCTGATATTGTCTAGCATTAGGGTCCGTTTCAGCTTCTTGCTCAAGTCTTGGATTGTGGCTGGTTTTCCTGCGGGCGAGCAGGATCCTCTGTGCTTCATTTCCAGGATGGTTGCCCCCTCTTCCTGTCCTGGAAACAAAGAAAGTATTGTTTAACAATTGGAGATGGAAAAGATGTCAAGGGAGAGACCAAATTATTACAGTTGCTTTTCCCCCCCATAAACCAAGATGGAAAGCAATGTTAGTAGATCCTAGCAGAAAGGGCTAAGGCCAGAATAACAGAAATGGGAGATCCCAAAGTTGGGGAACAGAATAATAATTGGAGAACCTTTTGTTTTCTTATTATTTAAGGTAAAAACATATTGTTCAAAGAGAGGGAAGAGATGAGATAAAAAGGAGAGTAATGATATAAAGTGATGGCCAGTCACCACCATTGATGAATGAAGTAATCATTTTTTTCTCTTTACTGTAAGGGAAAAAGAACAGAAATCTTACTTGATTTCTGGGGAAGGCATGAGCTTGAAGAAGCAGCAGCAGCAGAGTCATGGAAGGTGCTCTTCTCTAGCAGCTGTTTCCACTGGTTGTGTTCTTCCAACAGGTCGAGGAGAGAAACTCTCTTCCCCACAAAAACACCACCATTGCTAGAGCTGAAGCTTTGCAGCAGACAGACAAGAAACAGCAACAACTTGATTATGGTAATGAGAGAAGACATGATTCTTCTTTCCACCATTGATGTATGAATACAAAAGTATGTATATATATAATATAGTTGACACCACTCCACCCACACCAGCAAGCAAGTGGAAGAGAAGGAAAAAGAAAACAAAATGTGGTGCAGGGGAGAGAGAGAGGAGATTCTTTGGGAGAGTTGGAGTTAGGGAAGAGAACAAAAGAAGAATGGCTGGCTTGGCTTGGCTGAACATTTCATGAAAACGACCCCACTGGCTGTAGCTGATCACGAAGAGCAAGCAGCAGTGACTAGTGAGTGAGTGTTGCTTGTGTGTTTTTTGTGTGCTGCAGCATGAGCTTAAAAAATTATTGAGTGGAGTGGAAGGATGTATGGATGCTAAGCTGCTATCGCTAGGCATTCACGTGCTGCAGCAAAATAAACTAACAAACAAACAAACATACAGAGTACAAGTCTGCTGCCCCCACTACCACCACCGTTTAACCAGTAATTGAAAGGGTTAATTGCATATACAAAACAAAATGGCAAGTGAAGATTAGGATTGGTAACAAAATTAGTAACCCGTGAAATTGTCACCAACTCAATCCCTTCCTACCCGTGACTCACTAATTCTGTTTGACTCTTGAACCATCATAGTTTTTTCATATAGCATCAGGCAACATAAATATTTACAAAGTCGTGTGATGCAGATATTTTTTTTGACAAAAGATAATCATTAGATTAAAACAAATAGATCATTACATCCTGGAATACAGCCAGACTTGGAAATCAAACGAACGACAAGTAGTCGGGAACAAAGACAGGGCATGTCTAGCTACCAAATGAGCTACCCTATTGTTGCGTCGACCTACAAATCGTACAGTAAACCCTCTGTTTGCAGCAAATAAATTAACAATCTCCTCCAGGATTGCCCCTATACGATTATCCCGAACATCCATCCGGAGGATCTTCTCAATTATCACCTGGGCATCACCTTCAAACCTCATGACAGTGAATCCATTTACCAAACACCATCCAATCGCCTCCCGGAGAGCCAGCGCTTCAACCATCATTGGATCACTAAGGAAAGGAAAGTGAACCCCTTTCGCAAGGATGACCGCTCTATCTGAATCAAGGATAACCATCCCCCTGCCGCATGAGATCCCTCCCGCACAACCCCATCCCACATACAAATTGGCGTGTCAGCCCCAGCATAAGGGACGGTAGGGACAAGGGGGCGCGCCAGCCGATCCGTCTGATCTCGGGGCAAGGTAAGCCATTCCTGGACTTGCTGGTTGAATTGCCGCATCAAGGCAGGGACCCCAAACTGTTTGCCTTCAAATACCACCCAGTTCCGGGAACGCCATATCCGCCACAGAACAGCCACTACAGACATCACCATAGCAGGGTTATGCACCACAGCCAGCAATTTCTTCAGAAATAGTGGAAACGTATGGCGATGCAAACCTTCCCCCAGATGGGCGAGCCCAGAATGATCCCATAATGCACGAGCCACCGGACACTCCAAGAACATATGCTCCAGAGTTTCCGATATGGCAATTAGTATTCAAAACCATGAATCCATTCCATACACTAAAATATCCTACTAATCCAATTAATTTTTAAATCATTCATTTGGTTAAAATCTAATTGGATTGGTGAATTCATTGATTGTTGATAAATTACAATTTAGTACCTGTATTTTTTAGATTTTACGTTTTGGTACATAATTTATTTTTCAGACGAAATTTTTTGTCTTGGTGCATAAAATTTTTATTATGACATTTTGGTACCTAAACTTTTCAAAATTAACATAATGGTCCAAGTCTTAAAAGTCATTTGGATTCGTGGATCAATCCAACAATCCATTTGATTCAATCGATTAATCCGCCTAATCCATTTGATCTATGGATCCACCTATCCAACCAGACAATCCATTAATCCAATCCATTTGCCACCTCTATACTCCACATAATACTTGCTGTTAGTTATTGCAGATTTTCGAAACAAAGTTTTAAGAATATCAATTGATTGGTTATTAACCTCAAAGTTGAGAAATCAATCAATTATATATCTGAAGGCAAGCAAGTTGATGGTGTCCCTGTGCTTTTGTTTAGTTAAATCATCTAGTAGATGATTAATTGGCACCTTTTTGGAGTGATTAGCGTGAGTTTTGAATAGAGGTTTATTTGCTTTGGGGTTAAGGCTTTCAGGAGAGACGAGACAAGGGAAGGGGGAAACATCAGAAAGGAATCGACTGTCACAATTGGAAGGGAAAGGAAAAGGAGAGGGAAAAAAGAAAAACAGACTGAGGGCCACAACTAGGGCTGCAAACGAGCCGAGTCGAGTCGAGTTTTTGCTTAGCTTGAGCTCGGCTCGTTTATTAATTTTTCAGCTCGAGCTCGGCTCGAACTCGAATTTTGATAATCCAGCTCGAGCTCGAGCTCGGCTTGAATAAAAATAATATAGCTCGAGCTCGACTCGGTAGAGCTCGATAAATTCTCCTTAACATAGGTTGTCAAGCTGAGTACAAGCTCGGCTCAAGGTGAACTCGATTTAAAGTCATTTTTGCTGGAAAAATGTATAAACATAAGAATTTAAATGATAGAAAGAACACTAGAAACTATAAATAACATCTAAATTTCATACACAACTGTATTAGAAGACAATGTTCATGTTTAAAAGAGTAATTCATTCTTCCCCAAGCTCAAAACAAGGCAGCTCGCGAGCTTAGCTCGACAAGCCACCGAATCAAGCTAGCTCGCGAGCTTATCAAGCTGAGCATGGTCTAGCTCAGGCTTGGCTCGTTAACTAACGAGTTCGCTCGCGAGCCGGCTTGTTAAATAACAAGTCGAGTGTCGAACGAGTTTTTCCCGATTCGAACGCCGAGTTGCTCGCGAGCGACTTGGCTCATTTGCAGCCCTAGCCACAACCCACCGAGGTTATTAAGGTACGACCCCTTGGCCCCCATATGCCCTTATTTCATTGTTCTGACTTCTGTGGCTTTCTGTTTTCTGGTCCCAAAAAAACCCAAATTGTTTACAATTTTGTATTTCTTACATCTTTTGTTGTTGTTGTATGTGTTTTGTGCAAGGGAGAAGCCATGTATGTAGGTAGGGTGGAAGTTTGGGTTGCGGCTTGTGGATAACTTGCAAATCGAACAAATTTACACCAATTGTGGGTAATCATACCCATAAGTTGTGGTGGGTGTGAGTAGTAAAATAATAATTTTTGTGGTTAGTGATTATTCACTACCCATCGCGGTTAACCCACAAAATCCGCAATAACGACACAAATTATGTTTATTCGTTTAATTAACTTTATAATATAATAGGGGTATGTCTTCGGTGCACTCACTTTTTTGGGTGCATTCAATGCACTCGTCTCATAATCGTCATTCTGAGCGGACGATTCATGTGAAAACGATGTCAATCATCCCTTGTAGTATGATGAACAAGAACCACATGAATTTGTACAAAAATCATTCAAGATTCACTTTAATTTGAATGATTTAGGGTTTAGGAATTTAGGGTTAGGGTTTACAATTTGGGATTTTGGGTTTAGATTCAAAATTGAATGTTAATATGTTAGGGTAATGGGTTGATTAGTTGTGATCTCTGTTATATCATCATATGAGACTAATGCTACCCATTAAATTTCAAAATTTGATGTATTATGACCACTTTTAGAGGTGGGTGCACTGAATGCACCAAAAAAAGTGAGTGCAACGAAGTAGCCACCAATATAATAGTATGTGAAAAGTGGGAGGCTAAAAGTTAAAGTAGCCACCAAATTCAAATACGCACCTAAGTAGTTCTATGTGAGAATTTTTTAGTTTTTAAAACACTATAATCGAGAGAGTGGAGAATAAACAATTAATTCATTAAAAGTGGACACCTTTAGTAACTTTTATCTGTGGGGTCGTTTGGATCCAGAATTTTAATACGAGAGATTTGACCCCAAATCCCTAAACTAAAAACCCAGGATTTTAATACGAGAGATTTGTGAGAGATTTAGCAAAATCACTTGTTTGTTTAAGGGTCTGGGATTTTTATATAAAAATTAAAAGTCAGATTTGTCCTTCCGCTAGCCCTATTCATCTACCTTGTCTCCCCATAACCGCCCTTCGCCCCTTCTCCTTGCCATCTTCGTCTACCTCGCCTCCCCTCCAATCAAAGACCAGCGCCATCATTCTCGTCGATTTGTTCTTCCCCTTTAACGGAGCAACGCCGGAGCAAAGCACCACCGCCCGAGAATTGCAGTCTGCAATTGGAGGACGGGAGTGACAAATCTGCTCGTGGGAGAGGAATCCGCCGTGTGGAAACGACTTCCGGTGCTACAAATCTACTCGTCGGCTTCGGTGCAAGAGAATAGAACGAGGGAGAAGGAAAGCTAGTGACGTTAAAGATCTGTTCGTCGAAGACGACCCAGAATCAGACGATGGAGAAGGAACAGAGGTTGCAGAACTCGAATTTGATGGTGAGGCCGGATTCTGGAAACAGGTTAAGTAGATGGATAGATAACGACGTTGGGAGAGGAATCCAACTCCTCCGCCGATTGCAAAACCCACTTTTGATGGTGAGGGAGACGTTTGGATGGACGGCTTTTGGAAGATGAGCGGTTGTTGAATGAGTGTTGAAATAGTAACGACAGATCGCCGGCAGGAGAGGAAGGATAGCAGCAAACCTGTGGATGAAGGTTGGAAGGGTAACATTTGGAGAACGAAACAATAAAATGAGAGATTTCGAAATAACTGATGCTTATCAGCTATTTTAAAACCCCACGATTAAGGATTTTCAAAATCTCTAATATTTAAAATCTCTCATCATTTGAGCCTTTCCCAAACGAGTGATTGTGTTAAAATCTCTAATCATGAGAGATTGTGTTAAAATCCCTCATCAAAAACTCTCATCCAAACGGGCCTTGTATGTTTTTGCTTTTGTGTGAAAGAAAATACAAGATCATATTTAATTGTCATATTGCACCCCTAGTCGGTGAAATGTGAAATCACAGCTCGCTAACACAAAAGTTAAATACCAATCTCGAAAAGAAAAAATCTCCACGTTGATCGATATACAAAATTGTATCTCCACGAACAACACAATTGTCTATCACTATAGTCTAGCTACGAATAACAAATACGTTAGTGGCGGCCTCAACTTCATGCTTGCAATGATGTATTTTTGCGGGTAACCCGCACCAACCCACAGTGGGTAGTGGTTACCCACTGACCATTGCGATACAGGGTGTGGGTAGCATAATAGTAAATTTGAGAGTGTGGGTACCCGCAAAATGTGGGGCAGGTAACTACACCCGCCCAAATTTCCACCCCTATTTGTAGGAAGGACTATGCATGAAAGTTGCAGAGCGGAGCCCGAGCCACTCACAAGTTAAGTGTCATGGCTTACTATCGTTTTAAATTATTGTTAAAAACACGTGTATATTATACTTAGTAAAATCAAATATTAAAGGTTGTACCGAACAAATTAGCAGGATGGTGCTTATTGATACAACTGTCGTTAAATCGGTAGCATATAAGTGTCAAAATAATACCAAAGTTTTTACCAAAAAAAATAATAATAATACCAAAGTAAGATAATATATTCAAATTGTATTGTATCAATCGAAACAAGTAAAACTTGTCAGTTTACTATCACTAAACAGTTTAATCATGTTGTACCAATCAATACAAAATTTTCTTATATGAGCGTGTATCGCACAGGCCAAGTTGCACATAAGCTATCTTTATCGACCGATCGTCATTACAATATGATGCCACAAGCTCATGATAAATTTAAAACGTTTGATAAAACTTTGACATCCAATCTAACCCCTAGAATTCAAATATCCTGACCTTCGTTTCTGCACCACACTCAGATGTTTCGCGTTGCCACTGTTCATAGTCATTGGTTAGCTAATAGATGTTGAACCAGCCTTCTAAAATAGCACTAATATCTCTAAAGTAGATTTACCCATCAAGTTTGAAACTCCCATCAATTTCCCTCCATTTTTTTTCTTCTGACAGTTGAATCATAAAAGAAATGCAAGGGTAAACAAACTCTTTAGGGGTCGTTTGGAAGTTGTGATTGTTAGAGTTGTATTTGTTGAATACATGTATTGTGCACAATACAATGTTTGGAAGTGTCAAAGTGTTAAACAATGCATGCATTGTTTTAGGTAGGTCCACCAACAATCATAAAAAATGATGCATTATACAATCTCAACTAAAAGTTGAGATTGTTGGTTTTAGATTTGTGTAACTTTTTCTTTCCATTTATATCCACAGAAGTTTTTGTCTTATTCTGAAAGTTGAGGGTAAATGTGACATTTCCCCGTAAAAGTAACTTTATGTAAATCAACGCATAAAGTAGAATCTCAACAACCAAACAATGTATTGTTAAAATGCATTCATTGTATCAATACATGCATTTATATTATGACGATTCATTACAATGCAATAATTTAACATTCGCAACTTGAGGGAGAGAAGCTCTTCCCTCTCTCCTACTTTCCCCTTTGGGGTTGTTTGGATGAGTTATTCTTATGAGTTATTTGCACCCAAATAACTCAAAAAGTTGGTGATGAATTATTTGTACTTGAGTTAATTTGAAATAACTCATTAATGAGTTATTGTCAATACCTCATAGAAGGGGTAGTTATTGTGAAATAACTCACAAATACCACATTCTCATTTTGTAAGGAATTCTACTTTTATATTAACTCGTTATACAATAACTCATCCAAACGATTTGATTTTTTAATCGCTTTTTCTATCGGAGATGTGCATGAAAACTAAACCATTAGCGAAGGCCTCCGATTCAAATCTGAAATCTTTGGTTATAACACAATGAACGAGTTCAAAGATAATTATGCTCAAATCTATATCGAATTTACTTAGAAGCTCCTAGTACTGAAGTATATAATCAAGTGAAGGGTAAGAAGAGTGGAGTATGAAGGGCTTGACACAATAAGCTATGACTGTGGAAACTATGGTCATTTGGAGGACAAATTCCTTCTAGTGGCAATAATGGCCCGAGCAACACAAGAGTAGAAGACTAAAGAGAATGATCTCCCCGACCCGAGCCATGAAATCGGTCCTAAAGTGCGTGATGACTTTGGTCCCCAGACGATAGCCACTAGATATAAGAGGAAGAAACAAGCACAAAACTCAGCGAAGAAGTATTCAAAGTAGGGAGTTTTTTTTTTTTTACAAGGATGCTATATATTTACTTTTTTTGTGGTTAGGTATTACTAGGCAGAAAAATACCAACACATCGAAGAAGAAGGTTAATAAAAGATCAAGATTTGATGTGTTAGAAGAGTAGGAACAAACGTAGGAAGAGGTTGTGATCGAGGATGTTAATGTAGAGGAATAAAGAAGAAAAATCAGGTCGCAAAGAAAGTAACGAAGGAGGAGATTACGCCAAGAAGAAAATGAGAAGAATAGAAGAGTGAGGAGAGAGAGAGACAACCAAATCAACACAGAAAATAACTTTGTCAAATGTACCCTTTTCTTTGTAACTCTTCATGGAACTCTCCTTCCAGAAAGGATCTCCATAGTCGTAGTCGCGGAGCTCTCAACAGGAAACTCCATAGGAGTAGTCGTAACTTAGATTCCCATAAACTCAAACACCCTAGTTCTAACATTGTTCGGAGAGGCGAGAAACGTAGTTACTTTCGTCCTGATTTCCAGAAGTTAGACGTGCATCGATCAAATCAACACCGCAATATTTTCCATCGTGCAACACGACCTAATCGCTTCATAAATAAAATCTTTCTTCGTTGGCTCTGATTTGTTAGTTTTGCAGGCGACTCATTCCATTGATCTGAACTATGGTGCTTTTATATCGTCGCTTATGCTCCATTGGAATGCAGCAATGGGCGCCATGATCTTCGCGTTCCTGCTCAATCGCCTTTGGAAGTGATTCTTGTTGCGACGGACTCAAGAATTTTACATAGCGGCATCCTTTTCATTAAATTAAATAATTAAAAATCAAATAATTTTTTTGAATTGGAAAATACTAGTACAAGTTACAACAATCTACACTGCTCAATACACCTGTCTATCCTACTAGACAATCATTCACAAAAATATAGTATATTCGATTCTGAAACTTGTTCTTGATGTAACCCAAAATCGAAAAGACTCTTTCAACACTTGCAGTTGCAACCGGCAAAAACAATACAACTTAGAGAAGTAAGTAAATTCATGGATATGATAGATGGGTGGGGGTAAGGGTATCCCGTAATTGGGTTTAATCATTATGTTTGAAAATAATTGGGGATAAATAATATAATTTTTACTATTAGATTTGTGTTTAAAGTAAAAAAACAAATGAGTTGTAGTCTAATAAAAAATATGTTTACTAATAAAATAGAATGTCTTAGGTTCATATCACACAGACTACCACTTACATATATTTTACCCATGATCAAACTACTACTAGAAGTTGGATAATCCTTTTCAAATTTAAAGGATGTATCCTGGACCCCTGCTTCTTGTGAAAGTTTTTATCCTTTTCAATAGGTGTAATGGTGCTTCGTATTACAATCTTTGTAGGAGATTTAAAGGAACTGCTCATTAAATGACAAAAAAGGCTAATTCAATATTTGTAGGAAATTTAAAGGAACTCCTCATTAAGTGACAAAAAAGGCTTATTCATCAGCAAATCAATTAGTTATCGACTTCTGTATTTATTCATTAATGCATTTTGTATAGCATTTTTTGGATTATTTATTGAGAAATAGTAAAAAAAAAGAGTTATAGGGATAAAATCTCATATTATATGCATTTTTATCAACTATCATCTTCTACTGTTTTTACATAGAAATACCCTTTAGTTTAGAAACATTATCATGCAATTCTTTTATTTTTTTCATATAAAACCTGTTAACAACATATGAAATTGTTGTTCGAACTACCTGACCTTACGAAATGGGAGGTCAAATATCAAATTTTCCCTTTCATTTGTTTCTATAAGTTATGCTAAAGTGACATTATAAGAGGTATTATACCATATAAAATTAACTTAAAATGTCAAAGTGAAATTATTAGGGGTGTTTTAGATATTTGTATTGCCAAAACTATTGTTCGACCCTGGTTAACTATTTCTTGGAGGGTAATTTTAATATAGAGGCATGTTTGATAACCTTTGTAAAATTCAATGATATTTTTTCATATAAATCAAATTGCAAAAGACATAGTTAATAAAAGTGCGCCATAGATTCAGGTTGTTAAATTGGTTTATACTGTAATGTCTATTTGACAAGTAGTATGGACCAATTCATGCCAGTTTAAGTAAAACATGTAGAAAAGTGAAAATTATTAATACTAAATGACTTTAGACATTATATACAACTTATTTTTTTAAGAGATTGACAATCTCTTTAAAATCTGCTTCTATATTTAAATAGAATACAACATTTTAAAAAAAATGAAAATCACTTATATTTAAATACAACATTTAAACGGATAACCAAGGTCGTGATTAATGTGTTCTTCACCAACAAGCTGAAAGCATCAAACTTCACCGCCACACTCCTGCGAATTGGAGATTGAGAGGTACCCTTAGTAAAAACTGAATGGCTAAACATCACCCTAATTTTACTTTTGTCGCCCTGACTTTAAATATAGAATTACTAAATTAACCTTAAAAGGAAAAAGTAAAAATAAAAAAATCCCTAATCTCCCTCACCGCAACGAGAGCCGCATCGCCCTTTAAAGCACCTCCGCCGCCGGGAAATGCATTGCACTCCAAACCCAATCAGCTTGATTGTGGACAATGGTGTTGAGACCAGATAACAAAAGGGCTTCTTTGGTGTACGCTCCAGCAATTGCTTCAGGGGCCACGTTTTATCTGCGAGAATTGTATGAACAAATTAGTTGTATGAGTCCTTATCAAGGAAAGATGAACGGAACACTAGAATCGGAGTTCAAGGAGCAAGCAGGGGTGTAGGTGTACTTGGCGATGAACATCAAGTTGAAGTCATGAGCCGTCTCCTTGCTGGTGATGATGACCAAGTTGCAGCCACGGTGGCATCCAGAGCGATGAGCCTCAGAATCACAGCCACAGCCTTCTTAATCTTCGCCATGGCTGCAAAAACACACTTTCTGTGGACGATTGTTATTCTCTATTGGGTAAATTAAAAGCTTTTTAAGACCCAATTATGGAGACAATATAAAGAGAAAAACATCAAATGGACCTTTCATTTATGTGGCGATGTGGCAGAGGAATGGGTTGGAGAAGAAGCTCTGTTTCTCCGGGAATGAGTATTTGTTGGGAATTGAATTCGTCCTTCTTTCCGGTACCGGAAACGGAGAGGTGGAGACTTGCAGCGGTAAATTAGTTTATTTTTAACTATAAAGAGGATAAAGAGGTAATTTTAATGTTTAAGTCAGGGCGATTGTAAAATATTCAGGACGACAATTAGCCAGCGCCAGTAAAAAACGTCCGCTGAACTTAAATTTGAGTGTTTTAAGTTGAATTGTTGATTTGGGGTTTTCTCTGTGTTCTCTTTATATCTCGGTGAATTGGGGTTTTAGTACAAATCTAGGGATGAGGACTGATGAGGATTTGGTGGGGAAATGTTACTTATCTAACATAAGCTGGTGTGGGAAGTCCTGGATGGTGGTCTCAAGAACAAGAACAAGATTGAAATCAAGTGGTCTGATATTTTGGCTATCAAGGGCGATTTCCCTGACGATGCTGAACTTGAATCCTTGCACGTTGTGGTACTATTTGCAACTGTATCTCAGATGAATTGGATATTTTACCCCTTGATGTTGGCAAGTGATGATAAAGAAGTTGTAGGAAGGACCTTCGCCATCTGGAGTTCTGCCATCAACTTCCAACGGTAGTACTGCTGACTGCCAACTTTTCGTTGGTAGGCACGGTGGAAGCATTTCTCAGAAGGCTCCTTTGCCCAACCCTCATGGACTTCTTAAACCATCCATGTCGATCGATGACCTCGTGAACTACATTGGACACTGTACTTCAGAACTTAAAACTGGGGAAATCCCATTTTCATTTGGGCAGCTCAAGAACGGCAACATTCTGGAAGAGATCACTTGGCACTTGCTCAGGGATTCTCAGTTTACATCAGATGAGGAATCCCATCTCATGTCGAGGGTCAACTCGTTCTGCTGTCTGCTGCAGAAAGATCCAGTCCCAGCATGCAACTTTCTGTCAAAGAACCCAGAGTGATTCTGCCGAGGTAGACAAGTGTGAAAGAACTATAGCTTGAATTAAGGAAGCAGCACCCACCGTCTCTAGCATCTGAAGGTGAGGTCAAAAGTGGCCTTCTGTACAAGGCTGCTGCTTCTGCAACTATGCCCCGGAACAACTCAATCGGAGAGCTTCTCAACCTTCCAAGGATTGCCTCTCTGCCAAGATTCCTGTCCAACATGTAAAGAAAACAGTCCGAGGGTTGTCATGGGGCTTCTGTTATTTGCTACCATGAAGGATCCTATAATGTTGTGTCCAGTAATTGGTTGTTATCTTTGTGCATTCGTATGTAGCGCCGAGGAGCGGAAACTGGTTTTCACCTGCCAAGTTCTTAGGCCATTGTGTAGTTTTCTGTTCGTATATGCAGTGAAAAAGTTCGGCTGTGTTTTCTTTGGATAAAAAGATACAGGTAATTAAAAAGATGCACTCCGAATGCTAGAATCAACCTATGAACTTTGGGGCAAAATCCCATTTGGTCAAAATTTTGAGACATTGTACAGATAAGAACACTCCACTCAATTCCAAGGGAGAACAGAAGTAAACAAAGGGCAAAGCAAGGAATAAACAAACCATATATGAGCCCCATTTCGCAAGGACGCCACAAAACAGAAAACTTCAGAAACTAATCAGATGACTCCTGACCAGAAATGTTGACCGATTACTAAAGCTGTGATATCTCTTTCATTCATGCATATTCTGAGGCTAACTTATCAATATATAGGAGTGGCTACTATCTGTGATCTGCACCAACAGCTTCAATGACAGACTTGAAACCATCTCGTTCCAAGCATCCCGCTAGTTCAGACTGTTCAACACAAATCAATATTACCCGATTCATGTGAGGATATAACTCAAACTTGCTACTTCAGCAGTTAAGTTCTCTAATCGAGGTTATGGGAATGGGGCTGAAACTGCAACGGGGTAGATCAGAAGAAATGTACCTTTATTTGAGGAATTAATGCAGGACCTCCATAAGCAAATGCAGTATATAGCTGGACGAGAGTTGCTCCAGCTCGTATTTTCTTGTATGCATCCTCGCCACTAATTCAATGGTAACATGGCAATGAGTTCAGCAAAACGGGACAAAGAAGTACAGGAGAAACTGAGAAGGAAAATTATAGGAATTGTCACCTGCTAATACCTCCACAGCCTATTAGAGGAATCTTTCCCTGACAATGATAAAAATCGGAGCATAAACACATCATTCAAAAGACGCATACTGTATGTCTGTATTCTTAACAGAGTCTATCACTATAACCATAAGGGAAAAAACGGCCTTCCTTGATTCAAAGACATTAATGAAGTTAAAAACGATAACCATTTAGGCAAAATGCAGCTCAACTTGATCAATGGTATAATCCAATCCACCAAATAACCTTGTTTCCTAAAACAAAAATGGGGAGTTCCATATCTTATTAGTTTAACAAAAATCAGCATCTGTATATCGGTACTAATTGATGGCAGTTTTAGTAGCTATGTTGTTACTTTTTATGGCAAATTTATCATATGCAAACTGAAAGATGTGTTCTCTAAAAAAAAAAATTAAAGAGGCAAAATTCTGAAGGTGAACCACCATACTCTTGTCAAAATGTACATCTCCTTCAAGATACTGTTAGAGAGATCGAAAAGAGGCTTCCCGCTTAGACCACCAGTTTCTTTGGCCAAAGGGTCGTTCATCACAGCATCAGGCCTTTGTATTGTTGTATTTGAGATTATCTGGCCAAAGGGGCAACAGAAGGGTAAGTGATAAAAACCAAAAACAAGAATTCACAGAACAATTTAGTCATTCGTCAACATAATGTCGCCCAAAAAGAAAGTACTGGAGCACCAACAATAAATAGCTTATGAAGGTAACTCCATATCACAAATGTAATGAAAGAAAATATTGAGCTTTAAATGGAAGTGCATCCTACAGCAGATGCAATGCAGAGACATCAGAATGTTCTGCATAACTGATTTATGGAATATCTTCCATGAAATGGATATATAAATTCATATAGGATCAAGTCGAGAACCAAACCGTCTACTGTCATCGGATCTAAGTATTAATATTGAACACCAACAATAGTAACAATTGATACCCTGCTGATTAAAGCCGAAAGAATTGAAAACGGTGAAATATAGGTAGAAAGATACACATGTTAACAAGAACTTGAATGTGTTGCATCAGGTATCACTCTCAGTTCTAACACTTGAAACCATTGTAAAGTGAATTCTTGGTATTACACAAGCAACCAAATAGACACACTTAAGCAACACGACACTTTAAGGACAACCATTTCTAAAAACCATAAGATATATGGTTATAGCTGAAGACAAGAAGGAAAAATTGTGGGAGGTGAAGGTTATACCAGTCCATCTAGACGGAGAGCAACAGCAACCTGCAGGCAAGCATAGAAAAGAAACTGTGAGCTCTAAGGTAAGGGGTTAAAAGACAAATAAAACAGATGCATTATGTACCGCTGCAATGTCTTCCAGGTCTTCTTTAGACAAGTCTGGTGCAATTTTAACGAGCAAAGGTGGTGGACCCTCTTCACCCCATTGCATTTCATCACGAGCAGCTTGAATCTGGGATGAAGGAAGGGGGGAGATAAGTGAGGGGAAAATAGCAAAACTGCTGCTCGCTATGATTTGTGATGAGAAATTTTACTGAAGTAAAATCCATGTCATTAATGTTTGATACCTTTTTCACAAGATCCTTCAACTGTTTCCTACCCTGAAGAGTACGCAACCCAGGGGTATTTGGCGATGAAACATTTATAACCTACAAGTGACAAAAGCATATAAAGAAATCAAATATACTTACTTCGGCATCTGTAACCCAAAGGCAACAGTTTAAGCATTAGATCGCACAGGAGTAAAATGTAATGTTCTTAGCATCAAAAGAATGAAAACATGAACTAATAATACAATTACGGAAGCAACTATCAGGCTAGCTTAGACAATTAGTGGCAAGCAATAATGATCCGTGCGAATTATAAAAAGATAGGCATACATAATGAATTTGACACATGAACTATGAGGATTGTGTAAAGTAGGACTAATACAATAGCAAAAAGAATAAATGGAGTAGCTTTAACGAGCAGTCTACCAAGTAATCTGCATACTGGGATAATGTATGCACGCCCTGTACATAGTCTGATGCAGCATCTTCACTTTCTTTGTTTTTTCCAAGATTAACCCCCAGAATTCCCGGACCAGCTTTACCTCCCTGTTTGACATCATCATTAGTTGGAGGTGCAGTGCTTGAAGTTTCAGCCAACTTCCTCTTCCCATGCTGAGCACCCAAACGCTTTGCAACAGCTACAATACCTTCACTATTAAATCCGCAACGGTTGATGATTGCACTGCGCGCAGAAACAAGAAACTATGGCATTCAGTTACAAGTTTGAGACTTCTAGCGGATACTTGCATGAAGAAAAAAGTCACATTCTTACCCTTCTTGACGCAACCTAAAGATACGAGGCTTGGGGTTGCCTTCTTGTGGTACAGGAGTGACAGAGCCAACCTCGATGAAGCCAAAGCCCAAAGCAAGCAAGCCTTCAACAGCCTCAGCATTTTTATCAAATCCAGCAGCTAGACCTACTGGGTTCGAAAACTTCCTTCCCCACACTTCCAGTTCCAAAACTGGTGCATCATGCCTCTTCTCCCTTGGCACCCACCCTCGAGCAGCAGCAGACACTGCTAGTCTATGAGAAGCCTCGGGATCGAGAAGGGCGAAGAACGGGTTAACAAGCTTCGTGGCATCAAACAGCCAACCACTGCAAATTGGTAAACGTAGTTTATAAGCAAAGATAAGCTTTTTGCCGAAATAAGGAAGACATAGAGAAGGTTTTGAAACATTTCACAATGAAGTACCAGAATGTTGCTTCATCCACTGTACTCACATAAGCTCCCCCAGCTATAACCAATCCAAGAGTGGCCCCTGTCAATAACCTCCCCTGCAGAGGCAGAGTAATGTCAAAAGACGCTACATTCGCACCAACTCAAAATACCCAAGTCGTTTGCTTGGGGTTGAAAACTTTAAGCAAAAAAGAGAGCACCTTTTTGGGCAAGTGAGGAATTTTCGAAGCTTTTCCGGTGGCAGAAGATGAACAGAAGCGTCTGGCGAGTGCTCCCCCAGTTCCCATTCCTCGATTCGCAGCTGCATGTTGAGAAGAAGCCACTGTTCTCTGTACGAACCCTCCGAGTAACCGCTTCAGAGGCATTACCGCCATGGATGAACTATAACAATGCGAGAACCCTAATGAAATTGTCCAAGCAGAGAACCGAAAGGAAATCGAGCAGAAACTAACGAGAATCCCGAAGTTGAAACGCGGACCACCACGATGCCTAGCCTGCGACAAACACCAGCGACGGCGGCGAGGGACAATCTTATTATCAGCGCAATGATGGGAGCCAAAAAGCAGAGTAGCTACCGAAGTCGAGCTACAAGCTACACTTTGTCAATTGAACAGGTGAAGTTGCTGGGGGTTCGAGCATGAAGAGAACGAAACAGCTCGATTCTGAAACCAGATTCCTATTTCCTACCGAGGTTTATTTCCTCTCTTACAAGGACTCGGGTGTCATCGTTCTCCCATAAACCTTGTTTGTGATTCTTAAAATAAAAGTGTAGTTTTGCCCCAAAATTCAGGGCGATTGCAGACTCAAGACCTAATCTTTCATTTTGTCCCTTGAAGAGAACAAGTAGCGGGTGCAAACACTCTTATTCAATCTCTGTATCTATGGGCCCTGTTACTCATTTTGAATAGTGCTTGTTTTGTAAAAGCCTTTGCTGGGTTGATGATATCTGTCGACTGTCATGCCTTGAGCTGTGTAGGAAGAATCAAGAGGTTTGGGCAGAATATTATTTAGATTTTTTTTATTGAACTGTGTCTTGATCATTTGGATTAACTCTTTTTTTTTTTTTACATCATTTTGATTAACTCTTTGGTAATGCCTTAACAACTCATATTTAAAGCAAATAAAGTAAACCGAACTGCAGTGACAGGCATGGCAGATTTCCTGGTTGAAACCTACGCACGCGAACTTTTAATATGTTTCACGTAGTTATTTTTTATTTTTTATTTTCCACCGTTAACTAGGGGTGGAAATTGGGGTGGGTGTGATTACCCGCCCTACATTTTGTGGGTAACCACACCCACAAATAAAGAATTATGCTACCCACAATCCGCCCCGTAGTGGG